CTTACTGGGTCCCCCAACACCCCGTGAGTTGCCTACCGGAGCTGCGGAAATCGGGGTACCAGTGGTACCCCCGGTGCCAGAGCCACTCGTGCCTGGGAGGCGCCTGTGTTACATCGTTAGTAGCTGCTGCTTGTTATCCCCAGGGGAACCAGGAAATAATTACAACACAGGCTTATTTCTGGATCAATTAGCGATGAATGTGTGCAAGTCAGGATCGCTTCTAGGTCCCAGACAGACCCAGGCCCGGTTTCTATTTTATTTTTAAATCTCAGCCTGTCCAAATCTGCCCTCCCCGGTGTTGTAGCTCAGAGACGTGAACTGAGGATTTATCCACCAGTTCTGGGACTGAACCTGCAGGGAGTGGTGGGGTTTTTTCCCTGGTTGATTGGGTGAAGAAGTATTTTAAAGAAATCAGAGTGTTCTTAAGAGTAGAAAGATGTTATTTGGCCACAGTTTCGCTTCCTTGATGTCTAATACCAGGACTTTGCTGGCTCTTCCTCCACCCAGTGAGGCTGAATTAAACAGCCGAGTTGTCTGATATAAACAAAGGTGATTTACCGTGCTGGTCCAGGTTAGCATAATGCTGGGATGTATATGTTTAACATAAATAATTCAAAACAGGAGCCGTTCAGACCTCCTATATGCAAGAAAGCAGCGCCGATTCCTTGCGTTCTCTGCGGATTTTTTTTTTTTTTTTTTTTTGTGCCTCGCTTACAAGTGGTGGTTAAACTCCACAGACCAGCCAGGGAAAATTTAGTGGCTTTGCTAAAAGTTAACGCTTGGGTTTTGTTTTGTACGCAGAGAAACAGACGTATCCTCTGCCCCGAAGAAGTTCTGGTCTCTGTGAAAGAAAGCGAAACCTCATCTGAGACTCGGGGCAGGTGAGGACGGGAGGCGAGGGGAGACACGGATTGGCGAAAGCATCTGGCAGGGGTGAGGGGTGGGCAACGACCTCCTCGGGCAGGAGTGGCATATTTAAGGTCCTGTTTCCTGAAACGTTTAGAGACATCGTGGGGCTGGGAGCCGGCTCACTCTTTGATCATCTTCCTTGTGTGTTTTCAGGTGTTCGGGCATCCTCAAATCTCTGCCTTTGATGTGAAAATGACCAAGTTAGGGTTTCTCCGGCTGTCCTACGAGAAGCAAGACACTCTGCTCAAGCTCCTCATCTTGTCGATGGCAGCTGTGCTGTGTAAGTCTGCGTCCTGCCATGCCGGCCTTGCGGCCTCCCCTCAAAGAGGGACCCCGGGATGGAGCCGTCTCTGCTCCTCCTCCTCTTCTTTTATAGGTTGCGAAGCTCTCCTCTTTCTTAAGTGAACGCTCTTATCCTTTCCTTCAAAAAACACGTCTTTCTCTATCTTTCCCATGACCAGTTTGAGACAGAAACAATTTTAATCAGTCAAAGCAGATGATAAACCTAATAAAACTCTGGCTGGCTGAGTCCTGTAGATTCACTCCGCCTTTTTTCTGCGTTTGCAGCTTTCTCCACGAGGCTTTTTTCCGTCTTAAGATTTGAAAGCGTCATCCATGAGTTTGACCCGTAAGTATTTTCCTCTCCTCTTGTTTTGCAGGGGTCTGCTGGGTTTTTCTTTTCTGGAGCGCGTGGAATTTGGGAGGTGTTTGCTGGGCTCGAGTTAATCCCCATTGAGGATGAGGGATTCGGAGGGTGGTTTTCAGTACAGCTAGTTTTTCCTCTTCTAGACCCAAAATTCACTTCCTACAGCCCGGATCTAAGTCGGGGTAATCACCCAACGCCGCTTTTATGCTGGGATGTGGTTATTCCCTGCCTGAGCAGGGCATGACCTGAGAGGGCTCCTAGTACAACTCGTGTCCGCAGCCCAGGCTCGTTGCTGGTTAAATCGGGCACGAAGGGGAGCAGTTACCTTTGCAAACCTGCTTTTAAACCCCCTGGGAGGAGGGACGAACATTTGCAGCCGCGGTTTGTGGCACTCTAGGGAAAGCAGACTAGTTCCCTCTGAGTGGAAAACGCGCGGGTGGCCCCATCGTACCCCTAGGCGCTGGTGAAGGGTATCCAAACAGGCGCTGAATTTGGTACATAATTGCCCGTCAAAAGCCGCCTTATTTCCTAAATGCTCGTTGAGGACTGCGATTGTAACCAGAGGAGCGGTGAGCACTCCGGATGTGGAGATGCTGAGTGCTTGTCGCTGTTACAGGTATTTTAACTACCGCACAACCCGCTTTCTGGCGGAGGAAGGCTTCTATAAATTCCACAACTGGTTTGACGACCGAGCGTGGTACCCCTTGGGCAGGATCATCGGTGGGACCATTTATCCAGGTAAGCCGTTGAGCTTCTGCTGAGCCCAAAACGTGCCTCGCACCACGGAAAACGGGGAGAGGGACAGGTAGTGTATGTGGCATGGAGCTGGGAGAGGAGGGGAGCTCAGGGGATGCCCTTCAGGGAGGCATCCTGCCGGCAGCAGGACTTCCCGGCGAGTCTTTTGGCTGCTCTGCTTTTTAATTGCAAGCTAACGACCCCCGGTGCTGCGAGCAGACCGAGAGCACCCTGCTAACCACGTCGTTCCTGTCCCGCAGGCCTGATGATCACGTCAGCAGCGATTTACCACGTGCTGCACTTCTTCCACATCACCATCGACATCCGAAATGTCTGCGTGTTCCTGGCTCCCCTCTTCTCCTCTTTCACCACCATAGTGACTTACCACCTCACCAAAGAGCTCAAGGTGAGGGGACGGTCAGGGTGCGCCTTGCAGGCTTTCGTTTCACTTTGCGGAGGCTGTTTGCCTTTGGGAAAGGCAGCTCGTAGCTGTATTGGAGAGGTTTGGAGGTGACACCGCACTGGTCAAAACCCAGAACTGCTGGGAAATGGCAGATCTGGTTTGAAATTTCATTTCAACACTCAAATTTTTATTCCTTTGAGGCAGATCCTTGTGTAGTATGGCATGGTAACGAAAGCCCTAAAAACCAGCGGCTTTTTCCATCCTCTGGCTGTTTTTTTTCCCCCAGGACGCAGGGGCAGGACTCCTTGCTGCCGCCATGATTGCAGTTGTGCCCGGCTACATCTCTCGATCTGTTGCTGGCTCCTACGATAACGAAGGTGAGTTTGCGCCGCTCGGAGCAGGGAAACCCTTAGTGACTCTTGGGTGCTGGAACGTGGCGGTAAAGATGCTGCAGGGCACCGTAGAGGAACCGTCTTTTCCCAGTGAGCCCCGCCAGGTCCCTGCGATTTACCCAATTTTTGGAGACCGGCGGTTGTTCCCAGTTGAGGAGCAGAGTGTTTCCCAACTCCGACTCATTCCCCGAGTGTCCTTGTTTGCAAGTCAAACAAGGTTTTGCCACCTCCGCGGAGCTGCCACACGGCTCCCCCGTGGTTTTATCTCCATTCCAGCAAAGACTTTGGGGCTGGCAGAGGCAGCAATCTCGTTGTCGATGCCGAGGGCAGAAGGGGATCCAGGTTCCTCTTCCGTAGCTGGGAGTAAGGAGTCGTCGTGTCCGGAAGGGCTAGCTGGCATGGCTAAAGGAGGCCATGCGAGCTGTTACCTACAGTAAGACACAAACATCACAAGGTTTTAGTCTAGAAATCAGATACGAGACCCTTTTCCCAAGCTTGACTCTGTGTGAGGTGCTGTTCCGTCTTCTGATGGAGCAGCAGCAGGATTTCTCTATCTATTTTTAACAAGATTGAGTGCCCTGGGTGCGCCCCAGAGAGTATTTTGGTGTTTCAGGGCTGATTTGAGAGCTCGCTTTGGCCTTTCTGTGTCCTTCCACCCAGGTATCGCCATATTCTGCATGCTGTTAACTTACTACATGTGGATCAAAGCTGTCAAAACCGGCTCCATCTATTGGGCAGCGATGTGTGCTCTTGCCTATTTCTACATGGTAAGCGTTCCTTCTCCCGGTGCCGAGGTATTTCTGACTCCAGGGACTGTTCTGGATACAGTGACCAAAAATACACAGCATGCCTTTCCTGCAGCCTTGTGTTCAGGGAGGTAGAACCTCTGTGAAGGGCTCGACGTGAAAATGGAATGGATGCTTTCTTAATTCATTTCTGCTTCTCGAAACTGGTGGGGTTTTGTGGGGGGTTTTATTAATAGCGTTGAAAAATCTGGGGTTTCGGTAGCTATGAGGTGAGGATGCCCTTGGAGGGAGCAGATCTCAGCTGGGTGACAGATCCCACGTGTGATCCCAGGAAAACGAAAACCTGTCGCGTTTGACCTCCGCTGTGCGACCTGTTCAATCCTGGAACTTGTGGGGTTTGTTTGTTTGTTTGTTTTCTCTCTTGGCAGGTCTCCTCGTGGGGTGGCTACGTCTTTCTGATTAACCTCATCCCTTTGCATGTTCTTGTGCTGATGCTGACCGGCCGCTTCTCCCACAGGATCTATGTAGCCTATTGCACGGTCTACTGCTTGGGAACCATCCTCTCGATGCAGATCTCCTTTGTTGGCTTCCAGGTGGGGACCAGAACGATGTGCAGACTCCGGGACGGGTATTTCTCGGGTTGTAACAGAACAGCAGCGAGTTGGCGCCTGGTTTCTCTCCTCGCCTTTGCCGTTGACCTTACAAGCGGGTGCTGGCTTCTCGGTCCAGCTCCCGTTAGGCTGATTTGTCGGGACCTTTGGTAAAGATTAGCTTTTGGAGGTGCTGGATGACTTTCAAAGCTGCTAACGGCACTGGTTACCTTTCATGAAAATATTTCTGGTTTGGGGTGAAGGAAACGCTTAGGCCAGCGTGCATCTTGGCGTAGCGGGAAAAACGCCCGCGTAGCTCATGTTTTCAAGGGGATCGGCTTAATTTTCTGCTTGGATTCTTATCTGGGAATCAAAGCTGATGTAAGAAAGTGACTAAGGCCAGCTGTGCCGCGTGCAGGGAGGGAACAGTTTCCTGTGACTCCGACAGTGATTTTGCTAGAAGCGATTTGTAAAAAAAAAAAAAAAAAAAACAACAAAAAAACCCCACCAAAACAAACCACAATATTGGGCGCAACCGCGGCTTTCGTTCTCTGTAGCTGATCCCGCTCTCTCCCACTTGCAGCCTGTCCTCTCCTCGGAGCACATGGCTGCCCTTGGAGTCTTTGGCTTGTGTCAGATCCACGCCTTCGTAGACTACCTTCGGAGCAAGCTGAACCCGCAGCAATTCGAAATCCTCTTCAGGAGCGTCATTTCCCTGGTTGGCTTCGTCCTCCTCACCATCGGGGCCGTGCTGATGCTCACAGGTAGCCCGAGATGATGACGATAACGAGCATGTTTCGCCGCCGGCTTTTCCCTCCGTTCCTTTGAAAACCACGTAATTTGTCAATCCTGATTCTGCAGTTTCCCTCTGAGGGGGAGGCTGGGACCTGCTCCGCTTTTTACA